CCGCTCAAACACTATACTTTTCTGCTCACACTGAAAAAAAAAATAGAGGGAACATTGTTCACCACTGCTCCAGTCCCCTAATCATTGTTGCTCTTCTCTGCACTTTTTCTAGAGTCTCTACATCTATTTTGTTTGCTTGTTTCTGTAAATGATGCATGGTAGGTGAGATCCACGGTGCTAATGGGCAGGACCCCTTTAAGAAGCTCCAGCCTGCAAATAAGCTTTATCAGGCTAAAACATAGGAAGAAAGGTTGCAGGAATTGGGTATGTCTAGTCTAGTGAAAAGGAGGATTAGGGGAGGCATGATAGCAGTCTTCCAATATCTGAAGGGCTGCCACGAAGAAGAGAGGAACAATTTATTCTCCAAAGCACCTGAGGGCAGGGCAAGAAGCAATGGGTGGAAATTGATCAAGGAGAGAAGCAACCTAGAACTAAGGAGAAATTTCCTGATGGTGAGTACAATTAACCAGTGGAACATGTTGCCTTCAGAAGTTGTGGATGCTCCATCACTGGAGACTTTTAAGAAGAGCCTGGACAACCATTTCTCTGAAATGGTATAGGGCAGTGTTAGCGAACCATTTTGGCACTGAGTGCTGAAATGGGAGCACGCAGGGGAGGGGGGAGGTAGTGCCGGAAACCGGCAGTGCAGCTCTCCAACAGGCATACCAGTCACCTGGTCTTCCAGTTTCTGGTGCATATGCATGGACGAAGACCAGCTGGCCAGTGCACATGCGTGCACCAGAAACCGGAAGATCAGCTTCCTGACGCACAGATGTATGCTAGGGAGCTGCTTTTTAGTTTCTGGCGCTCCCACATGCACAAAGTCCAACTGGTTGATGCGCATGGAGGAGTGACGGCTGGTGTTGCAAAGAGAGATGGCTATGCCGTAGGTTCTCCATCACTGGTTATAGGGTCTCCTGCTAGTACAGGAGGGTTGGACTGGATAACCTTCAAAACCCCATCCAACTCTTTTAGTCTACATTCTATGTTCTCCATGGCAGCTTCCCTGCTGTTGGTTGTGCCTTTGTAAGTGAGGAGCCTCCTTCACCTCCCGCCAAAGAGGTGGGGGCACACCCCCTTAGTATTCCTCAGGCTCTTTCCTTGGTCTGCTTCCATGCCTTTTGCTTCCTCTCCTTATTCTGCCTCAGTTCCAGTGGATGGGCTGAAGAATCAGAAGTTCTTTGATGAGCTCCGGATGAACTACATCAAGGAGCTGGACCGGATCATCGCTTGCAAAAGGAAGAACCCCACGTCTTGTTCACGTCGCTTCTATCAGCTCACGAAGCTCCTGGACTCTGTGCAGCCGGTAAGAGGGAGAGTTGGCCAAGGAGCATGGGGTGCAGGGCAAGGTCTGCTCAGACCAAAAAGGGCTTCAGAAAAAAGGAAGCTCCAAGACCAAGAAGTCACAGAATCCCGCAGAATCACTTTAGGAAAAGATCGAGGGGACTTGCATACGGAAGTTTGCAAGAGGTGAATAATTATACTGTGTTTCCCCAAAAATAAGACAGGGTCTTATTTTCTTTTGATCCACAAAATAAGCACTTGGCCTTATTTTCAGGGAGGTCTTATTATTTGTGAGGTGCAGGAGGTGGCAAGCGTGGTCACCTCATGGCTTCTGCTGTGTTGCAATATTTTCGGGGAGGGCTTATTTTAATGCATGTGTTCGATAATAAGCCCAACTGGACTATTTTAGTGCATGCGCTCAAAAGTCCAATTGGACTT